CAAAATGAAAAACGATTACAAACGATATTACCGTATTTTCACAACCATAAGGCGCACCGTACTAAAAGGCGCAGTCTCAGTTATGTGTCCCATTTCCAGACATGGGCAATGTGGAGTCAACAAGTCATCTCCATGTCATGTATTTAATCTACCCAGCCAGTTAACCAGGTGAGTCCAATCTGCACAGGTTAATTCACGGTGAAGATTGGACTCACCTGCTTCAGTGGGTGGGTGGAGCCAATATATGCCATGGAGATGACTTGTTGACTCCACATTGCCCATGTCTGGAAATGGGACACATAACTGAGACTGCGCCTTTTAGTACGGTGCGCCTTATGGTTGTGAAAATACGGTAATATCGTTTGTAATCGTTTTTCATTTTGGATCGCACTTTGAACTTCCAGGATTTTGCTTTGAGTTCGGAGGATATGGAACTCCTGTGTGGACATTATTGTTAAAATATAAAAAGAACGGACAGTTTTGGACTTTCAGTTATTAGGGTTGTTTTGTTTTGCAGATATAAATTGAGACTTTGAGTTTATTTATAAAATGGTTGTGATGGAATTTGGGTTATTGATTTATTTATAATGAATTATTATTGAATGAAACTTTGGATTAGTAGTATTGCAATATTTTTTTTTTTTTATAAATCTTTGTTGCTAAAAATCAACATAATCTTAACGTAACACATTTTTGCTTGTTTTCCTGTGACAGAACCCCCCCCCACTTGAGTATTTGTGAGTTCTGCTTTTAATGAAGCTGAATTTTCCACTGCTTCTCATTGAGAGGAAGGACTTTAATGAAACCTGTCTTCAGTGTAGCTGAGATCTATTCTCAGGCAAACCAAACACTGAAATAAACAAACCAGACCCTTATAGTCATTTCAGCGTTACATTTTCACAGCCAGTGATTTTACCTCCTGTTCTAAAATGGCGGCCATGGATCAGAGCAGTTTACCTTCTGGGAGTAATGGTCAGGCGGGAGAGGAGGGTAGTCACACTGCTCGATCTTTTGACACAGCGTCAGCAGGTTCATCTTGTCCCCATAAAATGGACTCTGCAGCGCCGCCATCTGCAGACAGAGGGAGACAGTGAGGCGTTGGGCCCAGGCTCTCTGAGGGGGCAGGGCTGCAAGAGGAGGTACCAGAGGAACCAAACTCCATGTTCCCCCAGGAAGATTCATTTCAGGACTCTTTCCAGAGACACAATAGGAATGAATGAGAGCCAACGCTATCAGGTGTCTCAGACCAGAGCAGCGGCCAATCAGAGCCGCCGACCTGCAGCGAGTACTGAGGCCACGCCCTGCATGTTACACCTGAACAATGGCTCAGCATGCAGGAGAAATCTAAGGAGGTCTGGATGGAGCAGGATAGTTTTCCCTCTCAGCAGGTCAGAGGGAGGCAGGGAGGACAGGCGTCTCATCCTGGCTTCTCCTTGGAGATGTTTGGTGACCTTATCTCCAAACCGGTTCATCCGGTAACAGGAGAACTTTCATCTTCTGATCCAGCAGTTCATCCAGCACCATCATTCAGGACCACCATGAGGTCAGAGCTGGAAGCTACAGACGACCGCCGCTACCTGCTGTTTGCAGGAAAGCTCTGGACCTTCATGAACCCAACCCTTAGGAGGAGTCATTCATTTCAAAAAGCATTCTTTAAACATTGGTCAGCTGACATTAAAGTTAAAACATTGCCATCTTCAGGCAGCGCCCCCAAAGACCTTCTGTGGGTTCCAGCCATTGGCACCAGTCTGCAGAGGTCAGTGGGTGAAAGGCTCCCAGTCCGTCCCAGAACAGACTGTTCTTCTCAAAGTCGTAGGGAAGCGGCCGTTCCAACCATCGCATTTCCATTCCATTGGGACCAAGTAGCACTAAATTGGTGCCTTAGAAACGACGCTGTCAAGGAACGCTATGGACAGCGGAAACATGCAAGAGGAGGAGAG